AAAAAAAAAAAGGAGAAACAAGAAAGAAAGTTAGTTGTAAAACGTTTAGATTTCTTAAGAAAATTGGAAACAAGAACGTTACCAAACAGATCCTGAGGTTTTAAATCTTCTTATTTGGAATTTTAACATGAAAAGGGAATCTCACTTACTTTGGTATGAGTTTCAACAAAATACTAGTTAGAAAATTTAGCATGCATGTCACTCAAGAGTTGGTAGCTACTTATGTTTAATAGAGATGTTTAGTTAATGAATTGTTATAAAGATCATTTAGTTACTAACAGCAAGGAGGGACAGACGATGATATATATGTTTTAACTAATCAAATTAAGCTCAGATTGACAGTTTATAGTTAACATGATCCCAAAGATGTGGACGTCCACCTAAATACGCATTAGATATTAAGAAATTGGATCATCTTCTTTGAAACCCAATCCCTAAAGGTTAAACTATGTTGTTGCTATAACATCATGTGATTGTTATGTAAACATGTCGTTAAGAAGTTTACTTATAAGGCAATTAGAGTTGTGGAAGAAGAAGCAATTGTGATCAGATATGTTGCGACAACATCACATGTTTGGTTGCGAAATTTGTTTAAAAAATATGTTTATAAAGGCAATTCAAGTTGTGCAAGACGAAGCAATCACAATTAATGTGGACAACAAATTAGCAAATTGTATTCTAGTAAAATATTTGACGTTGATTGAAGTACATTGAAACGAGATTTCACGATCAGAGTTAATCATGTGGGGAAGATAGAAGAAGTTGATGCATCTTTATAAAATTGAAAACTTTTCTACCAAGTTAAGAAAGTAATTTATTTAAGTTTAGCATTTGGTTTTTGAAGTATGCATCATTTTGCAAGGATGATATTTTGGATTTCTTTTGATTAATTATATTCCAAAGGGTGACATTTTGAGCCATTTTGCTTCAACACACCATGAGTTGTTGAACATCTTAGCATAAGAATTGGAATTAGATTTCCATTTAATTCTCTATCTTCTCCCAAAAGCACAACAATTTAGTCCTAAAAGCAAGAATTTTTTGGATTCCACAAAAGAAATTCTTCCCATCACTTGTTTCTCACAACAAAATTCTCACAATATAGGAACTTCTCCTTCCTCCTTCCGTCACTCATATTTATGTCTCTTCATTTTCAGCGTTATTGTCTATTTTAGTATACCTTCAGTTTTTGTCTATTTTAGTTTTTTGCTCTTATTGGGTCCCTTTATTGCTATTTTTTTCGATCATAACTTAACTTCGATATGGTAAATACACTCAATAAATTTCTTGAAAAAGTTTACATCGATGAGTTTTTGTTATGTATAAAATTTGTGTTGAGAATTATGTAAACCTGAACTAAATTGATCACTTTTTTAAAGTATAGAGACTAAATTAAACAAATTCACGTACTTAAACAACTTGCAAATATGCTATTCTTGTGAATTATTCATTTACTTTGGAAGCTTAATTAAATATGAAACATCAATTTGAAGAACTTTTAAAAGTAATGTGTTTGTGTGAATCCTTTGTTAAACTTGGAATACACTCAATCTTCTTACTTTTTCTTGACACTCGAGCTTAAAAGTTCTCTCTAAGTTAATGACTTCTTAGACTTTTTTTTTTTTTTTTCATTTATATTCACATCAGATTAAATTAGTCTATGGATTTTGAAGGAATTCAAAATTATGACGGATTTCAAATGAATTCTATTGTTTGGTACCATGTGATTTTGAATGATTTCAAATCCTATTTTTACTTAAAAAGATTTCCGGATCAAAATGGTCGCATTTTGCAGGATTTCATAGACTTTCAAAGTAAATTACTTATTTAACCTCGTCATATTTTAATTTCTAATTAATAAGTTTAGACTAAAAACTCAATTCAGTAAGATTTTTATTTTCTTTTCATTTACCGTAAACATCCAAACAAAGAAATCTAATTTATTTCGTTCCAAACAAAATAAAAAATTTAAAATCATTTCTCGGATTTCAAATAACATAATTTAAATCATTTCTTCAACTTTCTTGACCCTAAACAGAGGGTAAGAATTGAGCTATAATCAGATTGGCTATAGTTAGAGATATTTTAATGATATTTACATATATGAACAATTCCTTTGATAATAAGTTAATATGAGCAATAACTCAACCATAAAATATGACATCTACTCCCTTCTTTTGAGTCGGAGATTCAAATCTCTGTACTCCACATTTGTTGTTACTGAAAAAAAGTTCATTCCATGATAAAATTAATAAAATTAAAGGGTAAAATTATTGGAACAATAAACCTCTCATATTTTCATAATTCTGTTATATTGTCTACTTTAAATTTAGACTTAGCATACGGTTTTGCTTTTGAACTCTATCCATAAAAGCTTTTCTTGTCCCTATGTTATATACTAGAAGGATATTTCCGTTTCTAATTACCAACCTCAAATTATGCTCGTATTAACAAAAAAATAAATCGTGTAAGAACTCATAAAAAGAAGAATTAGGAAAGTATATATATATATCCTTCATATTTTCGCTTGATTTTTTTTCCCTAAAAGAACATATAAGACCATTTTCCCAAACAAACCCCTACTTTCCAACATAACAAAACACACCTACATCACAAGTAGTATTAGGACAATTTATACATTATTATTAAGAATAACATAAACCTAGACAAAATTCAAATGCGTTATGAAAAAAATTATTCAACGTTTAATTAAAAAATATATTTTCTTGAATTTTTTTCTTATATATTAAATGGTATAAAACTATCAATCA